AAAATTTGCATATTAATATAGATTAACAAGGACCTAGGTTACAAAACGACGTTATTTTTTTTATTTTTTTGTATATCAATATTAATATGTTACGTTTTTGTGTAATTATTTGTTTTTAGGGTGTGCGTGACTTTTGTCCAGGTAGTGTATATACAGTATTATATAATGGATGATATAATTCATGACCAAAGGTAAAATGTTGATTTGATGAAGTCAATGAAAAGTTGAAAAGTAAATAATATATTAGACCGTGTAACAAAAAAACAAGCCTATGTATTAAAAACATTCAATAAAGAAATATTATATTAATATTTTACATTATTATTATAAACATCAATTCGAAACTTCGATAATATAAATTTATTAAATTTGCGTACCGATCTTCAAGCCAATAAAATTTTAATTTTTGCGTGATATCTGGAAGGGAGATCGTCGCAAAATTTAGCCAACCAATGAAATCAAATTTCTGCTATGCCCCAAAAAAATTATGCCATATCACATACTTCCTCGATTAAGTCTATTTTATCAATCAAGTCTTCTTCTGTACTCTCAATTAAGAGGAGTTGTACTTCGTTCTGGGTATACATACAATAACCAATGTAAGAAATAAATGCTATGTGCATTTCCAGGTAACAGCACCGTTTTATATGTTTTAAGATATATGGCGGTAACATCAGATATAATTTTGAAATTCTGATGTCTTTAATATCAAATTGGCCAACAATTTGATGATGATGTGGGTCTTGCATATGTGGAGTAAGGCTTGGATTCTCAAACCACGCACCAAAATTCTATGTTGAATTAGGGTTGTATGAATGCTAATGTCCATCTTCTAAGTGTTGTTAAGGTTATTAGATTCATTATTATATAAACATTACAAAATATTTATCGGGATGGATAAAAAAAATTTCTGATCATTAAAATTTAAAAATCTTCTTCGATCTGTGAATTCTAATATCAATATTAACATACGTAAATATTGATTAAAATTATAAAACATGTTGTTGTATGTTTTATTTATTAAACAAAGTTTTTATACACCTAAATCATATGATCAATTAGAAACTTTAAAGGTTGTATTTTTGAATATGAACAAGTCTTAATTGTCTTTATCAAAATATATTTGACATAGTCAGTTATAAATTCAATGGCCTAAAGGTATTTGTAAGATTTCATAAATTTGAACCTTGCCCTGGAAACCATATCGGGGAAACTCTAGCTAGGTGTGGATGCATTTCTAGTTTTCATCCACACTAGAATAACCAAGCATGAGTAAAGTCATTATTGATCTTCCACAAATTTAAGTTATTCTGGGAATTTCTATTAGATATGCAATACACTACTAGTAAAGCTTTTATTGAGATGGTACAATATTGCCAAAAAACTACAGTAGATTTACATCACAAGAAAATCATACCCCTTTAAAAAAAATCCATAGGACTTCGTTAAATGGAAAACATATTATTATTATTAATGACTTTTAATCGTTTATCATTTGTTCAATCTGTTTGGAAAAATTTTATTAATGCAAATGGATTTGATGCTCATGTTATAGGAAAGGTATCATTATCATTATCATTATCAAATAAATTATTTATTATCATCCAATGCCAATAATAATGTCAATTATTATAAAGATGAAAATTGTTAATGTCCTTGATGGTAAAGTTACATGTGAATTGGCAGTGGAAGATTATCACTTGGTAACAATATTTCTATTGGTTGTTTTTTAGATTATTAATGAAAGCAAACAATAATAATTTTTTTTAAAAAAAAAATTTATTTATAAATATATATATAGAATCGTCTTAAATCTCTTCATGGTGGATTAATATCTACATTGATAGATATAGGAGGGTCATTATCAATTGCTGCTAAAGGTTTATACTCAACTGGTTTAAGTACTGATCTAAATGTTAGTTTTATAAATATTGCCAAAAAAAATGATATTGTGATAATGGTAAGGGTAATTATTATTATTATTATTAAAGGAATTTTCTTTTCTCGATTTTTCTTTAATCACATTCTTTTTATTTGCTTAATTATTATTATTAGGATGCAGAATGTGTTAAACTTGGTAAAACTTTAGCTCACACAATCATAGAATTAAAAAATAAAAATAATGAAAATAAATTGATTGCTCAAGGAAGACACACAAAATTTGTTTCAATTGCTCATAATGATGATAAAAATATATTTAAAAAAAATTAACAGTTACAATAATGTATTTGATAAAGTTGGTTGTCAAGCAAAATAAAATAAAATTGCATTATCTCAAAAAAATAGATTGTATTAAATATTGTGATGATTCTTATTATAAAGCTTTCAGACTGAATATTATCTCAATAAAATTACTTTTCAACTACTTTTTTATTTTGCTTCTAACTCTAAGAAATATTTAAAAATATTTGAGTTTGCTATTCTTCCAATAAAAAAAAAAATATATTTGAAAAAGTGTTAAATCTTGTTCTTGAAAATAAAAACTAAACAAGAGCATATGCAGTAAGCACGGTTGCCAACAATGGACTTTGAGGCAAGTTACAAGCAATAAAAACCTGATGTTAAATACATCTAGATGGATTTGTATCTTGAGACCTCCCTTCCATTAAAATATATAAGATCTTTAACATTTAGGGTAAACAAAACAATTAATCAAAAGGCTAAATAAGAAAAATATTCACCAACCTGGACTAAAGACTAGTGCCGTAATCCAAAAAAGGAAAAAGTATGGTTGCAAAAGTGGTCGCAAAGGTAATTGCAACCACTTTTTATATGCCGTAAATACAATTACCATCATCATCATAATTTACGGCACTAGTCTTTATTTCTAACTAACATGTCCATTGACAACATCAAACATGATGTGTTTTGATTCGGACATAAATTAACAAAATATAATTCACCAAAGGATATAATAGATGCATTTTATGAAATAAGATTAAATTTGTATGAAAAAAAGAAGGGTAGGTTATGATTTTGTTGGATTTTTTTTTTACTAACAATGTATATATTAATATATGTGTGTGTGTTGATTAATCTATTTTCATACATGTGTACTAATTCACTGATTCATCTATTTATTTATGTATGATGACAGTCATATTTAATTAGAGAAAAAGAACAAAAAATGAAGATGATGAATAATAAAATCAGATTTATTTCCATGAAACTTGAAGGTGAAATTAAAATTTGATAGTTTAAAAAAAATTGGAAATTATAAAACTTCTTGAATCATACAATTTTGATAAATTCCATAATAATGATGATAATAATAATGATTTTGAAGGATACAACTATTTATTAAAAATATGGTTGTCTGATGATGATGGGGTAATCAGTTAATTGGTGATTTAATATTTTCCTTTTTTTTTTTCAATTAATAACACATATACATAATTAATGTTATACTCAGACCATCAATGAATATGAAAAAGAAAATAAAAGGCTCCAAGATGAATTAACAAAAATCACAAATATGACAGCCAAAGATCTTTGGTTAAAAGACTTGGATGTATTGGAGGCTGGATGGAACGAATTTAATGATCATCGACAACACAATAATAATAATACAGAAAAACATAGAATTGGTGATGATGATGATGATGATGATGATGAATTATCATCAAATCAAGCATCAACAAGTAAAGGTAAGTTAAGCTTTGATTATTGTGGATGGAAAATTATGTTAGTTATGAAATTTTTTTTTTTTAGTTGGAGGAAGAGCATTGAAGAGAAGAAAATGTTCTAATTAATAAATTATATATTTATTTATTTCATTATTAATTATGATGACTATATATATATTTTATTATTTATTATTTATTAATGAAAACTCGTAACTTCCAACTGATTTTAGTTTGGAAACATATATACTTGTAATGTATTTCAAGTGTTCCATAAATCTTGAACCCTGAAATGTTCACTTTGTCTGGTTTTGTTGCAGTATGCCCCATATATGAAATGTTACAAAAATAGTAAATTCAAATAAAAAATCTGGTTGCAACAAATCATTCCCTGACTTCTAAATAATCATTTGGTGCAATTATTTTTTTAAAAATGATCACCCCTGAAGAGCAAATATCATTTTTGGTAAGTCAATAATAGTTGATGGTTTTTGCTGTCATCCACTGTATAATAATTAATGAAAGTTTTAATGAAAGAATATGATGAATTTAATTTAGTGCAACCTATTTAACATTAAAAAGGATTACTTGCAAGAGTAGATAGCCCATCAATAATTGGTACCTTGCAATAAATATATTGTGCACTGCACATGTGGTCAACCTAGGAGTGCCAGTGCACATTAAGACTTTGGTTTGCACACTCCTTTAAGGCTCCGAATGAATCAACAAAATTTGGTCTCTAATTTTGATTTGTTTCATCCGAATCAATATATACTATTTAATACACATAAATAATGAATCAACCCAATGAATTTGATTTGAATCTATCCCAATGAATCATAATTTGATTTGCTTATGGAAGATAGGTGCAAGGTAATCAACTGATTATTGTAATATCTAAATGGCAAAGAAAAGGAGCAATCCAAACCAGTTATACTGTTACTGGATAAAGTAAATAAATAGATATAAAGTTCTTTTTTATTTTTCTATGACCAATTTTATTTCAATCATTAGCCGATTGCAAGCCCGCTTTGGTTTATTTAAAACAGCTTGTTTAACAGCCTTACCTTTACAATAGCACTATTAATATTGCCAATCAACACTCTTGAACAATGCCATTGTTAACATTTACCAGCTAACCAACATCAATCAGTACCAAGCCCTTACTTATTCACCAAAGCAAATACCTTGTCAACACTCATTCACTAGTTAACCAATGCCAGTACCAAGCCTTTGCTCACTAACTAAAACAAATAAACCACAGCCTTTTACCAAAGTGTTTTACCGAAAATAAAAATGCAGGATTATATTTTATTTTATTTTTAATCTGAATGTATATTCATTTTGTATTTTATTACCATCTTTTGCTTTCATATTCTAAATATTGAGACTCTGAATCAGTTTGATACACTCATTTTTATCAAGGTTTTCTGACTTTTTTATAGCATTATAAATAAATATTGTATTCCTTATTGAATCATCACCATCTTTACCATTTATCCATACACGACCATTCATTCCTATCGCAATCTCAAACGGAGATGGAACTTTTTTCTCAAGCAATGATAGAATTGGAGATTGTTTAAACAATAATCTACAACCAACCAACCAACCAACCAACCATATATATTTGTGTGTTACAAATTAAAAATTAATTAATTAACATCTCATTCATAATCATAACCACAACAGTTACAATTTAAATGGAAAAGAAACAATAGACTTGTTTTTTTTTTAAAACGAATTACCTTCTACAATGTCTTAAAGAACATTTTAATAAATAGCCATTTTTCAATTCACCAAATCCATCAGCTTTACCATTTTCTGGATTAACACATCCAAGTTCTGGTTCCATATCTTTATTTGCTAATAAAACTCTTGCATATATTAAACTTCCTATCTACAAAAGAAATTTTTTTTTGCAAATATGAATATTGAAATTGTTTCTTAAAATAAAATAAAAAAGAATAACAAAACAGAAATTACATTTAGATTTGGTCTATTCTTTTTTGTTACATTCTCAAACGCCAAGTTGGATAGGATTGCTTGATGAGCAGATCCAATATCCAAACGATAAAATTCTGAAGTTTTATGTGTCACTATTCCAAGTACAGATTCTCCTGCAGCCGGAACATACTTTTTAAAAGGATAGATAAAATAAGTATAACATTAAGTAAATTATATATTTCCTCCCAGAAATAAATCAATAAGAATAAAATCACTACTATTGCTTACTCTTTTTTGGTTATTATCCACCCACAACTTATTCCCTGACTTAGTAGAGCATTCTAAAATACCAGCTTTTAAACTAATTATTGATTCTTCATTTTGCGTTAAGCCTGGTCCAAGTTGTATTTTATCGCCTGAAAATTTGACAGGATCACCCGGAAGAACAACATTATTATTGTCGTCATCATTATCAATATCCATATCTTCTTCCATTGTATTAATTTTTTAATTTTAGAGTGCACGTAACACAAGTTTTTTAATCGCGACGATGAAAAATCAAATAAATAAAACTTTGGAATATGAATTGCGCACATAAGTTTATTTACAAATTTATTTATTATTTTTGAATCCATGATTTTAGACACAAAATCGTCCTAGCTGTCTATGACTCCAACCTGTTCCTTCGAGAAGAAATTGTTTGACCTGCAATGGAAAAAGCCTGTTCAGAAACAATGTTTCAGATAGTTATTACAGCAATCATATTGGCGATCAATATATTATAAATTAATTGAAATATATCAGCATTATTCAACAACAATAGACTCGGAATATTATTCAACAATTATATTATTTACTCGTCTTTTGTCTTTATTAGATTGATTAATTATAATATTACAAGTTTTATATAGATAATTTTTACAATTTTATTTTAAATAAAATTGTGTATATATATATATATATTAATATGATAAAGAATTCTTTTGAATAATAATTTTTTTAGAGACATGCAGAAATGAAAATGCAATTGTCTAAATTTATTCGTTCTATATTATCATTGAAAAAGATTTACCCTTCTTTTTCCTCACGCTTTTATCATATATTTTTGGTTGAAGCACCTTAAAATTCAATTTACATTTGGACCAAAGGATTTTCTCAAGAAGTTGCTTATTTTTATTCACTGCAGATTATCCTTTGATTCATTTGTCGTAATTAAATCAAGGGTTGTAGGTTCTACAACCTTAAAATCATTTAGAATGTGTCGCATTCTTTTGAATTTTTATTTATTGCGTTGTGCCTCTTCAAAATATTCTTCGTGTGTTGCCAATTCTAATTTCCTTTTGCGCGAATCTTTCAAATACTTTCTGTACTCCAAACCTTTTGATGGCTTCTTCGCAGTTCACATTCAATGATATATTCCTTTTAAAGACCAAAATGCTTGTAGTCCATTAACGACTCTACTAATTGGTTCATGTTCTTTAAAAGCACTTCGTTTTGGATTATGAACTATAGAATACTTTTCTTGTATGCAGTGTATGCATTTAGCAAGTTCTATTCTATAGTCTTCGTATTCATAAAGAGTAACTTCATGCGCTTCAGGAAGTTCATAAAGACTTAAATATTTAAAAGCTGCTTCAAGTACCCTCTTACATAATCTACATGATATTCTTTTGATTACTACATGATCATCAAAACGTGCTACCAAGACCCAGTTGTTATGCCAAGCTAAAACTACACCATCTTCCACTAGTTGATGGTATGATTAATCTTGGGCTCAACTGTGTCACGAATATAGATTAACATTAGATGGCGATGGTATATTCTATGAACTCCAGGTAGACCACCTGTTAAATCAACTGCATGTCTATTAGCATATGGTTATAAAAATCCACCAGTTATAGTTGGTTTGATATTGATCGTGAAATTACAGTATTTGGACCCAAAGGAAAACCGATCACAGTTTCTGAACCTTACAGAACTTACAAAATACCAGTTGGAGGACTTTCATTTAAAGATGAAATTCCAGAATCGCCTCAAGCAGATACTAGCAAGGAAGGTGACCACCATCATTTACAATAATTGATTTTTTTTCCTGGTATTCTTCCGAGTATATAACCTTGTAATGGCAGAGTGAAAGTGGTCATGCTTGAATCATCAACCACAATGGTTGGTCTTAGCTCATGAACTAAATCTTTGCCGTTCATTAGATTCTCTTGGTGGTGATAACTTGAGTGGTTTGGTATATGTGCATACATTATAGAGATCATTGACGGTGTAAATTTCCTGATTAGATTCTTGAGTCTCCTTATTTTCCTTGTGGTAGCTACTGGGTGGGTGTTGTTACTTAATTTTTACTTGTATTATTACTTTTAATTGGTGCTACTTCTTTTCTTTTTCTGGATTGAGTTGCCACGATTTGTTTAGGTATGTCAAACTTATTTGTTAATAAAGCTTGTGAAATAGATTTCAAATATTCTGAAGATGATTTTACTACCTTGCTTCTTGTTGATGCTTTTTGAGTTGATGTTGGTGCAACATTTTTTGAGGGATATATTCAATATCTGAACCAGCATTAAAATTGTCATTTTTTTTTTGTGGTGGTTCCTAAATGAGGTAATATGCATATACATGTTGTATGTGTGAGTGAGTATATGGCTAAATGAGTTTTATATGCTTCCAAATATAAGTTATTCAAATACTATTATTATAGCTTACTTTTTCTTTCTTTGTGAATTTTGTTTTCACATATTCTATCTAATAAAGTATAAGATTATTAATATAAATAGAATGCCAAAATTTATACCATGATTGCATAATTTTTCCCTGGTTAATAGGTGATATTGATGGTTTGGTTTATTAAAGTTTACTTTTGAAATCTTGTTTGATAATTTGTTTGCTGCATTGTAATCAAAAATTCAGATGATTTTTTTAATATTAAGCATGATTTCTTGTATTATCCCCCGTGTAACCTCATTCATAAGTTTGTACTTATACCCACTAGAAAAATTCAAGCTCAGTTGAATTTTATGATAGACTATTTTTTTATTTATAAAATG